CTGCTAAAATAAAACCTGAATGCATATATGGGGAGAGGGGTCCAGGAAGATTCCCAAAATCAGCCTCAAACCTCAGCACATATGCATGCCCACCTACATGTGAACACACACAGAGACACATGAAAATGTGACTATATTACTTAACAGAGGCACACGGCAACCAGTCAGTGAGTAGTGGCTCCAGATTCGTCATTAGGATTGTATCAGGAGAGGCACATGGGAGGGTGGCATGGGTTGGGCATTGGGGAGAGAAGCTCACTGTGTGGCTGGAGGCCAGGGGTGGTAGGGCTACCTCAGGCAGGTAATTTGGAATGTTTTGGGCTGAGATATATGAGATTCCTAGGAAGGTATCCTGAGGAGGTGGAGTTGGCTTACCTACTGGGTGGCAAGCAATTTCATCTGGAATGATGGATATGGCACATCGATGCAGGGGTGCTGAAGTCTTCTTGGTGCTGTGCCTGGTGACCAGGAGGCTGGATGGGAGGGCAGACAGCAAAGACAGGCTAGCTGAGGGCTCCTTTCCTCTCCCTGCCTGTCTAGGTTCCATCTTTCTATTCCTGCCTGAGGAGGAGGCCCAGACCTGAGAAAGACAGACAGCTCTCTAGCCCAGGCCTCCAAACTCAGCCTTACTAAGAAGGTGCTTACTCAGCCTCTACTTCTACAGGGCTCCAAGCAGGAAAACAGTTAAGGTAACCCCTAACTGCCTGTAACACCTGTCAGCCTGTAACCCCTGACTGCCTGTAACCCTGTCTGCCTGTAACCCCTGTCTGCCTGCCCATCAGGTGGTTAGAAAAGTCAGTAGGATAGAATGGGTGAACCAGGAAGTCACCAGTCACACTGCTGTCCCTGGAGGGGCAAAGCTGACTACAGCATTTGACCCATCTGACCTTAACATTTCCTGACTAAGAACTAGCGTTTTGGGGGACCTCATGAAGACAGGCTGAGCAGATGTCAATCCTGCTGGAAAACTCTTGTCCCCCAACCCAAGTCCAAGAAGATGGCAGAGGTGTCCACATTGCTTGGGGGAGGCCTGGGGTTTGGCTGGTCTGGGACAGAGGATGGGTGAGCATCTCTAGATGGGGCTGGAAGCAGAGTGGTGGGGAAGGGGATCTGAAGGTTGCCTTGGTAACAGTGAGTTAAGTCCAAGGACTTCGTGGTGGTGACAGGAAGCTATGGGGGGCTTTGTAAAGCGGAAGCACATGATCAGCCTGTGTTTTTGAAAGGTCATGATGTGTCTGTGGTGGGCAGGAGGACAAATTAGCAGAGGAGAGACAGACCTGGGGTGGTGTCTCCACTTCCTCAGCTCTTACCATAAACACTTTTTTTTTTTTTTTTTTTTTTTTTTTGAGACAGGGCCACTTTGTGTAGCTCTGGCTGTCCTAGAACTCACTCTGTAGACCAGACTGGCTTCAAACACAGAGATCCGCCTGTCTCTGCCTCCTGAGTAGGATTAAAGTAGTGTGACTACCACACCCAACTTAGAATAAGGACCAGATATCTTTCTTTTTCCTTTTTGGCGGTGCTGAAGATTGAACCCACGGCCTTGTGCATGCCAGGCAAGAGCTCTGCCACTGACCCACTCCCTAACCCTTTTTGTTTTTAAACCCCTCCACACAGCCCATAGCCCAGGCAGGATCTGACCCCAACTCTCCCTCTCCAACCTGCCCGGCTCCCCAGAAAAATCTCTGCAGGTGTGTGCTGTGGCCTTTACCTTTCCTGCCTCCGGCTCTCTGGCTGGGCTGTCCTTTCTGCCTGGAACCCTGGCCCCTCACTCCCTGAAACTGGGTTCATTCCCATCTCTGTACCTTGCTTAACTGTCACCCACTCATATTGCTTTCTCTAAAGCCCCACCTCACACTCTAGTAACCCTGCTTCTCATGACTTCCTGCTCAGAACTTGTTACCACCAGAGAGTAGCTTGCTTCCTTATTTACCTACTTACCTGTCTCCTCCACTGAGTGCCCCACAGTCTTGTCTACCTTGTCCATCACGAAATTCCCAAGGCCTAGAACATTGCCTCGCACAGTGTAGGGGCTCAGTAAACATTTGCTGAATGACTTACATGACAGTACAGGTAACAGCTGAGGCGTTGATGGGGGGAGTGGACAGAGGGGTAGAAGACCAAGGTGTGCCTGAGTCCCCAAATCAGGATGCTGCTCAATAACTCCACCTCTCTCCCCAGTCTGTCTTGACCCCTGGCCCAGCACCTCCCCTCCTGCTCCCAATGGTAGGTGTGCTGGCAACCACACTCCCTCCCCGACCCCCTGGGACAGCATGGCTCTCCCCACCCTCAGCCCTTTGCCCAGGCTGTTTCCTCCACCTCTGGGGCCTTTTACTGCTTCTCCTGCAGAACAACCTTCCCAGACACCAGCTCCACAGAAACCTTCCGAAACGAAGATACAATACAAGTCTCCAGTAGCCCCTAACTCCCAGATTCCCACTCCCATCCCCAGCCTTCGTTCCCACCTTGGCTACGAGGCCCTAAGAGACCACCAGGTGCAGCTCTGCAGACTGTACACCACACACCCCAAGATGGCCAGTCATATTCCAAGTGTGCAGTTCTGTGGCCTGAGGCCCAGTCTGTGCTGTTCCCATCCCTTTTGTGCTGGCGGCCCCCAGGTTTGCTGACTCGGTGATTAGCAAACCAGCTAAACACAGCCTGACCAGCTCTGACAGAGGACCGGCCATGTGCTGACAGCCCCTCTTTTCCTTTTCCACTCTGGTCTGGGTGCAACCCCAGGATATCTCATCCATCTCCTGCCTTCTCTCAGCTCTAATGGTCCCTCTTCCCAGAGGCACCCCCAAATCCTCCGGGGGGAGAGACCTGCTTACATCCTTCTCCACCCTCCTGCAGCAGTCCCAGCCTAAGATGCTGGCTGTCTTACTTATCTACCTTACATTAGAAAGCACGACAGAGTTAAGAGGGACACGTTACCCTTCACTGTGGGGATGGGTGGGAGTGGATAGCAACCTGTTCCTCTCTCTCTAGGGCGAGCTGGGCCAGTCAATTGGCTCATTTCCTGCCTCCTGCAGCAGGCCCAGAAACCCAAAATTGTCTCCACCACATCCTCCTGCTGACATTGCAAACCCCCTATGCCCCCCACACCACTATCCACCCCCCCACACCCCTGCTTAGCACCTCTTCTTGGAGATGTTCTCAATCTCTCCACAGCTCCCAACACTCTAGGCATCAATGGCTTTAAATGAAAATACTCTCTCCCCATCTACCTTGGCCCTTGGGCCTCTAAGGGAGGGGGAATTAAGTCTGTGAGCCTAGGCCAGGTAAGGGGAAGACTGGG